AATCTAAAAAAAAAAACCCCACAACAATCTAAGCAAACAACAAGAACAGGAACAGAATCATAGATCATAGATATGGAGATCACTAGGAGGGTAATCAGCTGGGAGGGCGAGAGTAGGGGAAACGGTGTAGGGATTAAGAAGCATAACTGGTAGGTACAAAATAGACAGGGGCATGTTAAGGATAGTATAGGAAATGGAGAAGCCAAAGAACTTACATGCATGACCCATGGACTTGAACTAAGGGGGTGGATTGCTGAGGGTACTGGGTGGAAGAGGGCAAAGGGGGAAAAACTGAGACAACTGTAATAGCATAATCAATAAAATATATTTTTAAAAATGTTAGTTTCTATAAAGTGGGGAAGGTGATAATATTATTTTACAGAGTTATAATACTCAGGGAAGCAGATATAGGTAAAAAGTCTAATTAATAAAACACTATAAACTAGTATTTTAAACCATGAATCCTGCCCTGTCTGGTGTGGCTCCGTAGATTGAGTACCAGCCTGTGAACCAAAGGGTCACCAGTTCAATTCCTAGTCAGGGCACAGGCCTGGGTTGCAGGCCAGGTCCCCAGTAGGGGGCATGTGAGAGGCAACCAACCACACATTGATGTTTCCCTCCCTTTCTCCTTCCCTTCCCCTCTCTCTAAAAATAAATAAATAACAGGAAAAAAAATCATGAATCCTTAAATATTTCTAGGTAAAAAGACAGTATAGCAATATCAGATACATTTAGTCCCTTAAATACCTCACAAACTACATAAAAACTGGGAAAGAGTAAGGTGGGGGGAATCTCCATTCTTTACTAAACAAGGAAGTATTATAATTGCATACTATAAACTTTGAAAAGTGGTATCCAAGAATAGGAACACAGATTCCAGTTAAGAACTGAGACTCCTAACCCCACCATAAGTACTAAATCTCCAAAAGTTAGAGAAAGAAAATGAGTTGACAAAATTCTTAGAAGTGTAATATGCTTTCATTTATAGAGAAACACAAATAGGTGGTCGAGGGGGAAGGAACAAATATGTGAAAAGCAGGTAAGACAGACAAAGGATGCATTCTGAAAGAAAACCTACTAAAGTTCTCCACCTTGTAATACACACACACACACACACACACACACAAATAGAAACCAACTGAATTTATTAAAAGACATCAAACATACAGCATGAAATAAAAATGAGATTGTAAGGCTAAGGAAACTGAGAACTATAACAACATCATTACAGATCTAATCAATAAACCAGAAACAGAAAGGAATTAAATCGTGTATAACTAAATAAACAATTAGCAGCATTAAAACTGCAGAACACAAAGCAAGTACTATAAAACCTGCCAAAGCTAAAATTCACAAGTGAAAGACTGGAGAAGAGCTGCAAGAGAAAAGGTATAAAAGTCCTAACCCCTTGATCTCTTGTGGCATTAATTAATGCAATAACATGATGCTAATAATTTCAAAATGTCTCATGACTTTTCTTTGACCTTTTAGTAACTACTATCTTTTATAATAAAGAAACGTGTATTTTAAGGTATTTCTTTCAGCTTTACTAAAGTTTTTGTTCTGCTAAATTAAAGTAAAATTTAAAATTAATACCTCAACTTAAAAAGCATATGATCCCATTCTCATCAGAAGTACTCTCTCCGCACCACACCCTCCCATCTATTCTTTCAGCTACCATCCCATCACCCATCCTTCCATTTGGATATACAATACAGAAAGATTTCTGCAATGATGTTCTCTAAAGTTCAAAACCAATAGTTATCTTTAGGTAGTTATTAAGGTGACTTATTGTTTCCTCCTTTTTCTTTCTATTTTCTTCTTTACTTCTTTTTATTATTATTATTTAACATTTATCTTTTGTTTAAATAATTTAAAGAATAGTCACTGCTCTTAAAAAGAAAGAGGGAGGCAGGAAAGGAGGTTTTCGTTTTTGTTTTTAACCATGGCTAAATTGAATCAGGAATAACCTAAAGGCTTTTTGTCTTTCTTACTCTCTAAGTCAAGGACCAGATCTCTAGATAGCAAACTTGAAGTATATTAAATAATTAATGAGTAGAACATAGGATGAGAAAAAAGTAAAGGTTATTTTACTTAATGGCAGGTTACTTTATGAGTTGCTTTTATGTATCTTCCTAGAGCAGCGATTTTAAACCAGTGTATCACAAGAATTTTTAAAACATACAATACCTGACTATTTAGTCAGGGGCACTGACCTCTTTCTCCTTAGACTGTCAAATTAAAAAAAAAATGACAACAGCCAATACAACAATAGCCTCTGGTGTAGATGAATCCAAATTATACCTATTGTTTTGTCAAATATATTTTTTGGTGTTCTACAGAATTTAAGTAATTAGTATATGTGTGCCAGAAGATGAAAAAGGTTGAAAACTGCTGTCCTAGAGCTCTTGTTTACTTTTTGTGGTGTTAAGGAACCACAGGAAAGTTTTAGTCTAAAAAGCCTCTGCTCACCCAAACACAATTTGCGAGGTAAGTGGCGCTACATACACAAAAGCGGAAACAGTTGAGCTGCAGATTCTGTAATAGGTCTCCATTCAAATCATTTGAGATGTCCCCACTGTACTGTTTCACAGTTACTTAATTTTGTGCACCATGTTAGACCAAGATCCAAACCAGTAGTGTTCTGATGTGCAGTAGATAGCAATGCCAGCACAGTCTCAAATAGGCATACAAGAGATAAATGTGGCAGTTCTACAAGCAGGCACAGAACAAAACTACATGTGTTCCTTTGAAGGCAACCGCAAGGCTGATGTGGCCCCCGGTGAAAATGAGTTTGACCCCTGTCCTAGGTGAATTATTAAAACTACATCGGCTTCAAAAGCAGGCAATTATCTCCATTACACCTGTGCTGCTCAGGATTATAATATAATATAATGTAATGTAATGTAATATGAAAACATGTAAGAAAATACTTATATTGGAGTCTACTGAGGAAGCCTTTCCTGCTTCTAGCAGAATAGCACTTCCAAAAGCCATTGCTTACTTTCTAAAGCTAACAATAAGACCCAAAGCAGTCCATATATGTAAAAACCTTAACTATTAATTTGGCATTTTCTGTGTTTTAATTCCTCCTTTCAGAAAAATACATTTAATTTTCGATTCCATATTAACTGTAATACTTTTCTATTTCATTTTGAAGACTCTTTCATTGTGAAACTAATTTTTTTCTTTAAACTCACCCAAAGATATGTTTACTGATGTTACAGAGAAAGGGAAGGAGAGGAAAAGAGAAGAGGGACAGGGGAGAAGGGGAGAGGTAGAGAGAGTAGGGCAGAAGGAAAGAGAAGGAAATAAAGGGAGGGGGAGAGAGAGAGAGAGAAACATTGATTGGTTGCCTCCCATATGCGCTCCCAACTGGGAATCGAACCCTCAACATTTTTTGGTGTTCAACCAACTGAGCCACTTGGCCAGGGTTGAAGACTCTACTTTTAAGAGGCTAGTCTTCATATCAGAAGTAACTTTAGACCCAGAATGAAGCAAGTAGAAATAATCACTTATAGATTTTTACCAAGTTTTACCCAATTTATTTTTAGATACTCAAAGTGTAGAAAAGGAAAGTTATAGGCACAACTCAAATGCATACATTAGCATTCTTATTAATAATAATTAAGCTTTATTTTTAGCATTGAGAATGTTGTCAAGTTTAGGAAGTGACAGTATGAACAAACAAGAACAAGTTGGTAGTATTGTAAAATGCAAAAGCCTAAGGTTAATTTTAGACTTTTTGCTGTTCCCTCAAAGAGACTAAATGTGATCTTATTTATCCTCTCCAATCTCCTTTTAGCATTAGAACATACAAAACTAACTTGGACTGGCACAAAAAGACTTAACTCAATTATTAATCAAGGTCTCTCAGTTGTTTTCTTCCTTCACTGGCCAGTGTTTTTGTTTCCCTTAAACATATTTTTTTATTTTGCACTTCAGTAATCCATCATTATTTACCAGGATTATCCTTGGACAAGCTGAATACAGCTTGTGTATAGTGTAAATACAGATGCAAGGAGAAGCCTTATATTTCTGATATACTTCTAATTTTAAAGTCAGTACTAATAAAACTCTTTTTATATTATAATTTGATATGTTTAATATGTATTCTTTTCAATCAACTATGACTTCAAATGAAATTATTTTGCTTAATGAAAATAAGTGGTAAAATACTGTTTGTTACAGGGTTATTTTTGAAAAAAGTTTAAAAAAACTCTAGTATCCTATTTGATAAAGTATTTTTTTAAAAAAGATTTTATGTATTTATTTTTAGAGAGGGAAGGGAGGGAAAAAGAGAGAGAGAGAAACATCAATGTGTGGTTGCTGGGGGCCGTGGCCTGCAACCAAGGTATGTGGCCTGACTGGGAATTGAACCTGCAACACTTTGGTTTGCAGCCCACGCTCAATCCACTGAGCTACGCCACCCAGGGCCCATTTGATAAAGTCTTATTTCAGATCCTAATTGTTGGCTATCAAAATTTTTCTAAAGGATTAAATTTTTTAAGGTAAATGTTTCAATGTTTTCATATCCCAAAAGGACAATCTTGTGCACTGCAGAAGCACACATCTCACTTTGGAGATAATTGCTCTTAACATCCATGGCAATACATATTACTGTATTTTTCAGGCTATAAGATGCACTCTCCCCCACCCCCACTAAATCTGGGAGGAATAATAGTTGTTAATGCTGCTGTTGAGTTCTGTTTACATTTACACTGGTGAAATATTATGTTATTTATGTTATGAAATATTTTACCACATCTTTTGCTTCAAAATTTTTTTTCCTACTTTCCTCCTCTAAAACCTAGGTGCATCTTATGGTCCAAAAAATATGGTAATCACTAGATAACCACTTTCTCTGTAACAGGGCACCTCTCTTATATGTTCTGGTTAAGAATTCTCTCTCTTTACCTCCCACCAGAATACTCAAGGAGATGTATTTTGGCATTGCACTCATTTGAAATAAAGCAATATAAAAAAAATAGCTGGCTTACGTCTCTGGAGAACTTGGTTTAAGTTGTCTTGCATTGTTTCTCTACATTTGGGAAGAGTATGTTCATTTGTTTCATGGATCATATTCTTCCAATTCTCAAGAACTCGCAATTCTCGAAGACCACGTTTTTCCTATTAAAAGAAAGTAAGTGTCTAGTAAATATTGTGTCTTAAATCTTAGTAATTACTTTCTGGGATTTCCACCTAGGTTTTTGGTTGTTATGTTATTACCCATTACTGAAATTTACACAGCCTTCTTCTAATTATTTGGCAATAAGTGAGGTCACAATCTGGAGGTATTTTTTTTATTATGAAATGCTTCAAAAGCTGAAAAGTTGCAATATGAGTAATATTTTTACAGCAATATTTTAAAATGGGAATGAGAAGTACTAAAAGAACAAAAAGAGGCCCTTTATTAGACTTTACATTTCATTTTTTATTCTTGTATTACTTATACTCTGTGTTTTTAATGATTCCATTTTTCTCGAATAAAACTATGAAGTAAAGGTAATACGTACATACTTCCTTATGCAGAAAAGAGTTAACAGTGAAGGCCACAGATTACTATCCTTAGAAAGGCCTGCTTCCAAGACTGGCCGTTGGCTGGGGGCTGGGAACTTGACCAGTAAACAGTTCTGTACACTGGTATAAAACTTTCTATAAATGATAAGACACTTCCATCCTTCTACGAATCTGGAACTTGGATACATGTTAGGCAGAGATTGCCTACCTGATCAGTCCCCAATAAAAATCCTGGACTCCTAGGCTGACGCCAGCTTTCCTGGTGGATTACATCTCACATGTGTTGTTACAGCCCACTGCTGACAGAATGAAGCATATACTGTGTGATTCCACTGGGAGAGGACTTTTGGAAGTTTCTGCCAGGTTTCATCCAGACTCCTCCCCATGCACTTGTTTCCTTTAATGACTTTGTTCTGTATTCTTTTGCCATAATAACACATTAGTCACCAGAACAACCAGAAAAACAAGGAAGGCTAAGAAACTATCACAGACCAAAGACTAGAGAGACATGAAAATTAAATGCAATGTGGTACGCTGGAGTAGATCCTGAAACAGAAAGAGGACTGTAAGAGAAAAACTGGTGAAATCCAAATAATGTCTGGTGTTTCATTGACAGTAACGTACCAATGCTGCTTTCTTTGTCACCACCGTAGCATGGTAATATAAGACATTAACAATGAGAGAAAAAGGGGAACAGTATACAAGAACTCTCTGTACTCTCTTTGCAAATTTACTGTAAATCTAAAATCAATACAAAATAAAATGTTTATTAAAGAAAAGATTAGTAAAACCTGTGGAGGGTTGCAGCGGCAGGAGAAACTCCCAGCCTCACAGGGGAGTTCGCTGGAGATACCCATGAGATCCTAGAATGCATACAAACCCATCCACAAGGCAATCATCACCAGAAGGGTCCCATTTGCCTGTGGGCAGCAGTGGAAGCCAGCTGAGAGCTAAGTAAGCAGCACTGTTCCCCCTCAGGCTCCTCCCCCACAGAGAGGGCCACAAGGCAGCAATGTGGGTTGCCCCACCCTGGCTAATATCTAAGGCTCCTCCCCTTACTACCTACAGGTGTGCCAAGACAAAAAAAAAAGTGACTCAAATAAAAGAATGGATCAAAACTCCAGAAAAAGAACTAAGCAACAAAGAGAGAGCTAACCTATCAGATGCACAGTTCAAAACACTGGTAATCAGGATACTCACAGAAATGGTTGAGTATGGTCACAAAACAGAGGAAGAAATGAAGGCTGTGAAAGTGAAATGAAGAAAAATATACAGGGAACCAACAGCGAAGAGAAGGAAACGAGGATTCAAATCAACAATTTGGAGCAGAAGGAAGAAATAAACATTCAACCAGAATAGAAGGAAGAAACAAGAATTCCAAAAAATGAGGAGAGGCTTAGGAACTTCTGGGACAACTTTAAATGTTCCAATATCCAAATCATATGGGTGCCAGTAGGAGGAAGAAAAAGAGCAAGAGGTTGAAAACTTTTTTGCAAACACAATGAAGGAGAATTTCCCCAACCTGGAAAAGGAAATAGACTTTCAGGAACTCTAGGAAGCTCAGAGAGTCCCAGAGAAACTGGACCCCAGGAAGCACACACCAAGGCACATCATAATTACATTACTCAAGATTAAAGATAAGGAGAGAATCTTTAAAACAGCAAGAGAAAAGGAGAGTTACCTATAAAGAAGTTCCCCAAAGATTATCAGCTGATTTCTCAAAAGAAAGCTTACAGGCAAGAAGGCGCTGGAAAGAAGTATTCAAAGTCATGAATGGCAAGGACCTATATTCAAGAAAACTCTATTCAGCAAAGCTATCCTTTAGCATGGAAGGGCAGATAAAGTGCTTCTCAGATAAGGTCAAGTTAAAGGAGTTCATCATCACCAAGCATTTATTATATGAAATGCTAAAGGGACTTATCTAAGAAAAAGACGATCACAACTATGAACAGTAAAATGACAACAAACTCACAGCTATCAACAACTGACCCTAAACAAACAAACAAACAAAAAAAAACAAAAAATTAAGCAAACAACTAGAACAAGAACAGAATCTCAGAAATGGAGATCACATTGAAGGCTATCAGTGGGGAGGGGGAAGGAGGAGAATGGAGGAAAGGTACGGAGAATAGGAAGCATGATTGGTAGGCACAAAATAGACAGGAGGAGGTTAAGAATAGTATAGGAAATGGAGAAGCCAAAGAACTTATATGTACAACCAATGAACATGAACTAAGGGGGGGAATGCTGGTGGGAGGTGGGATGCAAGGCAGAGGGAAATAAAATGGAGAAAAAAATGGGACAACTATAATAGCATAATCAATAAATACACTTAACAAATAAAATAAAAAACGAAGATTGGTAAACTTAATTTAAGGGATTAACAAATTAATTATGTTGCCAGGGTTTTTGTTTTGTTTTAAGCCATTCTTATGGAGCAGCTATGGCCATATTTTTATTCTTTCTATTTTTCTATAATAAGAAACTTAAAACTTATACAAAAGTTGAGAAAACAAAACTCATTAAGAGTTATTACTATTAATGGAAGGAGCAGAGGACTAGGCAGCAGGTGACTTGGGTTCTTTTCTTAACTGCTAATGTTATAGTCCTCAAGACTCAGATGAGACACTCCATCCTCCAGGAAGCCCTCCTGTCTCCCACTCCCCACCTCTAACACCCACCAGTGGGCCAGAAACCCTCAAAAACCCAGGGCATAAGTAATGAAATCATTTACATGCCAGAGCAGGTAACAGAACTAGATTCCTATCAACATGCTTTAAAAATTCTCAACTCATGGCTGATTTTGTTTCCTCTGTAGCACTCCATACATCTCCCTACCCACATCCTAGATTCTTCTGAAGCAAATCTCAAAATATAGTCGAAATAAATAATTTCAACTATAAATATTTCAGCATGTACATTAAAAGAAAAAATCCTTTTGAAAAAAGATACAGTAAGACCACCTGTCTTCTCTCTCACACACACACAAACTCAATAAATCTTTATCATTAAAAATAAAGGTTAGTATTCTCCCGAATGTCCCATAAATGTTTTAATTCTCCAGTCTGTTTGAAGCACAGAGGGTCCCGAAGCAGAGAGGCCAACTCCAAGACACATCATAATTACAATGCCAAAGGTTAAAGATAAAGTGAGAATATTGAAAGCAGCAGAAAAAAGCTGTTAGTTACTTACAGGGGAGTTACAATAAGGCTGTCAGCTGATTTTGCAAAAGAAACTTTGTAGGCTAAATGGGATTGGCAAGAAATATTCAGTTCATGAAAAGCAGGGACCTACAGCCAAGGCTGCTCTACCCAGCAAAGCTATCATTTATACTTGAAGGGCAGATAAAGAGGTTCCCAGACAAGAAAAAACTAAAGGACTTTATTATCACCAAACCATTATTATATGAAATGTTAAAGAGACTTATTTAAGAAAAAGAAGATCAAAACTATGAACAATAAAATGGCAAGAAAAAAAAACAACTTATCAACAATTGAATCTAAACTAAGCAAACAAGAACAGGGACAGAATCATGATACAGAAAATGTTTTGATGGTTGCCAGATGGGAGGGGATGTGGGGGAATGGGTGAAGAGGTGAGGGGAGTAAGAAGTGCAAATAGGTAGTTATAGAACAGCCAAGGGGATATAAAGTACAGTGAAGGAAACGGAGCAGCCAAAGAACTTACACTCATGAACCATGGAAATTAACAATGGTGGGGGGATTGCCTGAGGGAGTGGGGGTTGCTGGGTGCAGGGGGGCAAAATGGTAAAAATTAGGACAACTGTAATAGCATAATCAATAAAATATAATTAAAATGCAAAATCTAAATAAGATTCTTAAATTGTTGTTGGTTACTGTTTCTTAAATATTTTTAAGCTATAGATTTGTCCCCCATCACTTTCCCCATCTTGCAATTTATTGAAAAAAAAAATGTGAGTCATTTGTTCTGCAGTTTCCCACAGTCTTTTTTTTGCTGAATGACTCCCTATGGTGTAAACATATTCTTTTGTCTCTTCTCTTTCCTGTAAATTGGTAGTTAGAACTAGAGGCTTGATCAGATTCAGGGTTTTATTTTTTGTTCATAAAAAACATTTCAGATGTGGGTTGTATACTTCTGACAGGTTGCTAGCATTCTGTCTTCATTTATCAGCAGGAATACCAACATAAAGAGAAATTTTCCCTGACTATTTGGTTATTATGAGGATTGCTCACATATGAAAGGCAAAATAAAACACTTGAAGACAAAACAAAACAAAAACATTTGAGCATTTCCCTAAAACAATGATTTGATTCCCTAGTATTCTCTGAAGGTTTTTGTTTTTACATATTTCTGTGTAACTCAAAAATTAAAAATATCTGAAACTTTTCATCCATTACAGTATTTCTCCTTACTGGTGCTTAAACTGCCCTGTCTTTGTCTAGTAAGCACCTATTCTAGTTGACTCTGGACTGCTTTAGACCAAACTCTAGTGTTCTTTAGTAGTTTCTTTGCTTTCTAGTACAACCTGATGCCCCAAGATCATCTTGTACATTTCCTGGCCCAGACCTGAAATCAACAGGTCTCTAAATACCACCAGTATTTTAAAGTAGTATTTAGAGTTTGAGCAC